GTGCATCTTCTGTCTCCACGTGGGTGTCACAGGAGTACGTCTAGTGACCACATCCCCGTGTGAGCTCTTTAGCTGCTTGCCTTCTCCCAACATTTTCCTCCCTTCACTCTCCACGAGTGAGTTCTGCTTGTCATCCCTGCTTTGGAATACAGCTTGGCTTCTCCCTCTCCACCTCCATTCATCTTCCCCTAGTGCATTGACCATTTTTTGTCTTGTCTCCCAGCCTTGCCTTCAATTCCCTTAAATTTTTTTTTTCACACAGCCTATTTTTGAAAGTCAGATCATACCACTCCTTAATTTAAAATCCTTCAGTAGCTTCCTGTTAAAGGTGTATATAGTAAGGCTGCTCCTGCTTCCCTCACCTCCTCCTGAATTACCTTTGTTGCTCACCTTCACCCTACCAGCCTTGTTTCCTCAGCAGCCCAGGTATTCTTGTCTGTGGCCTTTATTCTAGTTTTGTTCAGGAAACTCCTATCTGAGGTCCTCAGAGTTAACTATCCAGGGTTTCAACCCCAAATTATTTCAGTTCCTCAGAGAAGCTTCCTGGGAAAGTTGATTCTGAAATAAAATAGCCCTTTCACTCTCATCAGTCAGTTACTCTCTTGTTCATCCTCATACCTAGTAGTCACTTACATGTAGTAGGTGTTTATTGTTGAGTAAAATGTGTTCACATTGCTTCTACCGTACCAGGGGTTATCTGTTCCTTTGAGAATCAACTCCAAGTCCCTTAGTGGTTTCTGAGTCTCTCTGTGCTCTGCCCCCTGTTTATTCTAACTTACTGGTTCTTGGAAGCAAAATTGGGCCCCAATCCTGCCCCAGAGTATGTGATGGTATCTGGGCATACTTTAGTTGTCATAATGGGTGGCACTGCTGTCATCTAGTGGGTAGAGGTAAAAAGTACTGCTGCACTTTTTTTTTTTTAATTGTATACATTGAGTGCAGGGTCTCACTACACAGCTCAGGCTCATAGTGATCCTCCTGTCTCTGCCTCCCCAGCGCTGGGATTACAGCCATGCACCACCATGCCCGGACTCAGTAGCTGGCCTAGTGCACCTGAGGGGCAGGGCTGGCATGGCATGTGGTGCCAGGGATCAAATCCTGGTCCCCAAGTTTGCCTAAGCAAGTGCTTAGTCTGCTAAGCTATCTCACAGGCCCAAAATGCTCTATACATTCTGTACTGCGTGGGACTCTAGCTCACAGATAATCACCTGGTATAAAATGTGAGTCACGCAAGTGTCTGTCCCAGCTGTCTGTCACAATTGGAGATCTGTAGGCACAAGAGGCTGCATTCCTCCTTAGCTTCTGAGCCTGCACTTGCTGTCCCCACCTGAACACTCTGTTTTGTACCCCTGGTCTTTACTGCTGATGCGGTTCTTTGCCTAGACAGAGTCTTGGGGCAAAAGTGTAACTTTTACAACACAAGGTTAGTGTGTTTTGGCAGTTTTTCCTTTATACAGTTAACTTTAGTTTCTGTCTCAAATTGAATGTAACTTTCACACACAGTCTTATCATCTGATGTCATCTGGAAAGGGTGAGCAAAGCTGTTGTTTTTGAGGACTGTAGTATGATGTGCTTAATCTAATCACAGAACAGGGCAAATTCATAGAATCCATGCAATCTATAGCTATAAAGTTTCAGATAGGATTTGGATACATAGTAATTAATTTTCTTCTTTTTCATGTATTGTGCCACATTAAATATTTCCTTTTTAAATAACTAATACAAATGGCTTTTTAACATTGCTTCAAAAACATATATATTTAGGGCTAGGAGTGTTGTCAGTAGTAGTAGAGTACTTGCCTGGCATACATAAGAGCCTGAGTTTAATTCCTAGCACCTCAAAAAAAAAAAAATATAAAAATGCCTTTAAGGAACAAAAGTGCACTTTGGTAATTTATTTGTGTGAAAGCTAGCAGTTCACCTTCCAATATTTATTGCATAAATGGGAGGTGTTCCTAGTGTTGTTGCTTGTGAATTGGCGGTCTTCCCTCGCACCAACTGGAAGGCAGACCTCATTTCCCCGCTCTGTCCATTCACAGTGCCACTGACAAAAGAAATACTTCTGTGCTGTGGGATTTGTAGGGTCCGCACCCCCAGAGATTGCTGCAGTATCTAGTAGCAACAGAGCAGTGGTCTACTGATTTGTCTTAAAACTACAAGTTGCATTTTATGCTTTTCACATCACAAAACTTTTCAAATGGCTGCATTTTCATGATGCTCTCTTCAATTTCAGATCAGCTTATAATGTTAACACTGTTTTTATTGCATCTTTTTTTCCACTCTTGATCTTAGCCAAAAGGCGAGAAGTAATCATCCTTTTTTTCCATATCAAAGATTTCCGTATTATTTTAAGAGTTCCAAAAAACAAACCATTTTAAATAACTTTAGAGGATAAACATATTGTTGTTGCATATTAATTTTACTGTGTCTAGCACTGTAGATTTTGTTATTTTGTGTTTTAACTTGGTAAAGGTTGAAAAAAAACTTGAAGGTTGGAGAATAGCTTGGCTCTGAAAATAGTTAAAAAATATTTTAGCTTATCCACAGCTTTACAGTATTTGAAATTTATGCATCAGCCTTACTATTTCAAGCAGGCATCACTTCTCTCCATTTTTACTTATGTCTGTTGTTGGGATTCAAGCACCAGGTATGTTCTCTATGCCTGCCTAACTCAAGTCTTTAGATGCTTACTCATCCCTTTCTATCCTAAGCATTTACTGAGCACCTCTTCATAGGGCAGAGTTCTGGTAAATAAAGGTGATCTCTTCTAGGATGACACAGTCGTGTTTTACACTTAGTTGTATATGATAAATTCTATGCTAAAAAAAATACGAAGTACAATACTGATAATAGAATTTTTTTTAAATTAATCTTTATTTATTTATTTGGCACAGGGTCTTGCTATGCAGCTCAGACTCATAGTGATCCTTCTGTCTCTGCCTCCCCAGTGCTGGGATTACAGGCATGTGCGACCACCCCCAGTTGGCTCAGCACAACCAAGTTTCTGGCTCTGGCATGGCATGCAGTATCAGGGATTGAACCTGGGTCCTTACATTTTCTGGGCAGGTGCTTAGGCTGCCAAACTATCTCCCCAGCCCCTAGAGTTTTTAAGGTCTATTCTGCTTTGAGGGTTGGCAAAGAACTGTGACAGGATGAAATATTGGAACCAGACTCCCGTAGAAAAGGAAGCAAGGGGAGCTGGCAGATTCAGAAGGAACAGAGTGACCGAGCCACTCTAGATCAGACCCTCTAGACCCAGAAACATGCTGGCTGGCTTGATCTGCTTCCTTCGTACTTAGTGGTGCAACTGAAAGTATTAAGATGTGCTCTTGCCATCAGCTGCAGTACTATGCTACATTTTGAATATGTAATTTGAGTTTGGCTTTCATTTCAAAAGGAATAATGAGCCATCTAAGATAGAAGGCTGTTAGGGAGCTATCTGACTGTGTTTGGCTTTTCACATCCTGGGGTAGACCTAAATCTGCTCTGGAGGTCATATACATCTGTCTTACTGTACATTTTTAAACACTGCTTTATTTGAGGTATTTTTATTTTGGAGAGGTTTTCCCCCTCAAAATTGATTTAGTGGGGCTAAAGGGAAAGAGTAAAGGGGGAGCTATCATCAGATTTCTGAAGAGATTCAAGCTCCAGGAAGAAAATTACTTTAGAAGAAGCCATCCAGCTAAGGGTCTTCATGTCCTTGAATTTCATGCTCAAAAGCACTTATCCTGGAAAATTACTGGTCAAAGGAATCATTATACCAAGAAGGTAGGAGCAGTCATCAGGTTAAAACATTTCAGGTGAGGACTGGGATTTTAAAAAATGATAGTTATCAAAAGTTAATTTTTTTTAAAGAATCCCTCTAAAATGTTGGCTACTAGTCAGTAAAGATCATTTTTGGGGCCAGGGAAATAGCTCAGTAGAATAAGCACCTACCTGGCAAGCGCAGGGTCCTGAGTTCAATCCCTGGTACCACACACACGCACGCACACACACGCACACACACACACACACACACACACACACACAGGTCATTTTTAAAAATGTTTTTAGGGCCCGGGAGATGGCTCAGTGGAATAAGCGCTTCCCTGGCAAGCGCAAGGGCCTGAGTTCAATTCCCGGGTACACCAAAAAAAAAAAAAAAAAATGTTTTTCATTTGATGATAGCTACTATATATAAAGTTATGCCCAGAAAAATGCAAAAAAGCTCAAACATACTGATGCCACTTTGTACTTGCTAAGTAACTGTATTTTACTACTGAAGTCAATAACCGGATTTATGGATTGATTAAAACTCTCATTTCTTTAAAAGATAACTACATTTTAATAGAGGGCTATGTAACCATCTTTCTACTAAGAAGTATTCTTAAAGGAGACTGAATCACAGGCTTTTCTTTGTTCTTTGGTGTGACAAAGAAGGGGAATGTTCTCCCAGTGAGTGTTCAGTATTCCAGTAAAACACAGGCTGCCCTTTGCCCTATTGTTGAGCACTGGCCGATTTTTAGGTGTGGGTCATAATTAAGGTAGTGAAATCCCTGCTAAAGAAAAGGCACTTCAGCTACATACGCTGAAGAGCCGGATGACCCCACCACGCTGGCATGTGGTGCGGAAAAACTGCCGGCCAACAGAACTATATGTGCACCTTTGCAGCGCAAGCTTTAATGTTATTTTCATCCATAGTTGAAATGATAGAAGCATTCTCATTTGGCATGCATAGTACGTACACGTAGAAAACTAATAACACCAAGAATCTTTTGGGCTGTTATATATGTCAAAAACTGAAGTGATTACCTGATTGTAAAACTAACTCCAGCATTCACTTGCTGGAGAGCAAGCCCCTGGACTGACCTATGGCGGATGCAGATGGCCCGCTAGCAGAGGTAGTAGGCCTGGCCTGCCGGGGCCCACATGACCCTGGGGGTGGGGCCGTTGCGTCTGCGCAGTAAGCTTCAACGGACGACAATAACAGTCAACAGTCTTGGCCTGCGGGTTTCCTTCCACTCTCCTCCAGCCTCTTGAGTGAACAGCCATGCGCAGGTCTGTAGGTATTCTGCGGGTCATCCAAAGAGCAAGGGCAGCAGGAGTGAGTTTCTGGGGACCGGCGGTGGCCCTGCAGCCTCGGCAGGCAGCATGGATCTCACTCAGTGGCCCCTGGGCATTTACCTCTGTGTCCAAGATGGCAACCGTGAAGTGTGAACTGATGAAGAATTTCACCTCGGAAAAGCCGATTTGTCACAGTAAAGTCTCCATCATAGGGGCTGGAGCCGTGGGGCTGGCCTGTGCTATTAGCATTTTGTTGAAAGGCTTGACTGATGAGCTTGCCCTTGTGGACGTTGGTGAAGACAAACTGAAGGGTGAGGTAATGGATCTTCAGCATGGCAGCGTTTTCGCGAAAATGCCAAATATTGTTTGCAGTAAAGATTACCGTGTCACCGCCAACTCCAGCCTAGTGATTATCACAGCGGGTGTACGTCAGGAAAAAGGAGAATCCCGCCTCAACCTAGTCCAGCGAAATGTGGCCATTTTTAAGTTAATGATTGCCACTATGGTGCAGTACAGCCCCCACTGCAAACTGATTGTTGTTTCCAATCCAGTGGATATCTTGACTTATGTATCCTGGAAACTGAGTGCATTGCCTGAAAACCGTGTTATTGGAACTGGTTGCAATCTGGATACTGCTCGTTTCCGTTTCCTAATTGGGCAAAAGCTTGGTATCCACTCTGAAAGCTGTCATGGGTGGGTCCTTGGAGAGCATGGAGATTCAAGTGTCCCCGTATGGAGTGGAGTTAACATCGCTGGTGTCCCTCTAAAAGATCTGAATGCAGCAATAGGAACTGGTAAAGATCCTGAGCAGTGGGAAAATGTTCACAAAGAAGTAATTACCAGTGCCTATGAAATTATTAAAAGGAAGGGTTACACTTCTTGGGCCATTGGCCTGTCTGTAGCTGATTTGGCAGAAAGTATTTTGAAGAACCTAAGGAGAGTACATCCAGTATCCACCATAATTAAAGGCCTCCATGGAATAGAGAAAGAAGTATTCCTCAGTGTTCCATGTGTCCTAGGAGAAAATGGTATAACAGATCTTATAAAGATCAAGCTGACCCCTGAAGAGGAGGCCCATTTGAAAAAGAGTGCAGAAACACTTTGGGAGATTCAGAAGGAGCTTAAGTTTTAAAATCTAAATCTATCATTCTGAAGTTACTGAAGATAACGATGGTAGATAAGAGATTGGACTGTGTATGCTAGCGTTTTGCATAAATTTAATTTCCTGAAAGTTGAAAAGAGTCCCTGTTTAGCCCTCTGTTTTAACCTTTTAGCATCTAGATGCTGGTGGTACTTACATTTTTACAATTCATAAGTGACTGTATCCAAGAAGATACCTAGTTTCTCTGATGTACCAGTATTTGTATTATAACTCTATGTAGGTGCCATCTGGTCTAAAAATAAGATGTTAGTGTGTTCTAATTTTCATTGAGTAAGTGCTAATTCATTTTGGGTTGCTTATAGCTATGTTCATTTATGTACCATTTAAAAACTGTCATTTTCTTTACAATGTAAAAATAAAAGTATGTACACAAAAGAAGTACTCTTTGTAAGGGATGAATCCTGAGGCTGCCTTCATTATCCTGGGACAGCATATCAGCTGAGTCACAAAAAGAAGTCACAAAATAGGGGCCCCAGCTGCATGTAGGTTGTGTGTACATGCACACTTTTGAAGCAAGATCATTCAGGTTAAGATATGAAAATAATAGTGATCAGATTGTAGTTATGTTTAATGCAGTAAGGTAGAAAACTTTTTAGAAGCTTGACAGAAAATGGTATGGACACTAATTTGGCAGGGAAAGGAAACATCCCTAAATTTTGCATTTACCAAAAATAAAATCTGGTTTAGTAAAAATGTTTTAGAACTGCCTCTGGGAACCTGACCTGTTATGTTCGTTGTATCAAGACACATTATAACTTGTTCTTATTAGGCTGTCGTAGCCGTACGCTAGGCCTAGGTTGTTACAGGCTCCAGGCCCATCCAACTGACTGCTCAGTTTATTTCGTGTTGATAGAAAGCTTTTGCACTTAAATGGTGCCCTATTGCTGATTGTCCATTAAAATTGGGCATTTAATGAGTGCTTGAAGGATTGTATTGTCAGAAAATTACAGTTTACTTTTTATTCCTAAATCAGTTGATGTCACTATAGATTCCGGAATTGGTACGTGTGATCCAGTGAGAGAATAGGAGAAAGTGAAGGTGCTTATCTTTTCCTTAAATAGTACTGGTTCTAATAACTTAGAAAATGGGAAACAAGGGCCAGCCAAACAGCTCAGCAGATTAAAGCACCTGCAAGAAGGCACAGGGACTTGGGGGTTCAACTGCCGGGCCAGCCTGCCCCTGGGGTGCACTGAGGCAGTGATAGAAACTGGGCCTGGTGGCACGCGCCTGTAATCCCAGCTCTTGGGAGGCTGTAAACAGGCAGATCACTATGACTGCAATGTAGTAGTGTAGACCCTTCCCTAAAATACAAAAAAAGGGAAACTGGGGCTTTAAAATGCATGTTAGCTTTTGTAAAGCCATTGAATATTTAAATTAATATACTGTGTTAAAACACATCTTTGGATTCTTGGGCATATCAGTAGGCTGTTAGCATCTGCTCTTTAAGCAAGCCAGTGCTTCTTAGTTGAATGTTATTAACAGACATAGGACAATAATCTTTTCATTAAAAATGTCCCTTTGTGTGCTGATTAGAGTTCTTCTACTATTTTATTGAAACAAAAAATGCTCTAAAAAAAAAAAAGTTCTGATTCTCCGAGTAACATTCATTAGTTGCAGAATTCCTATTCCCTCTTATCTGGCTCTTGAGTACCAAATGGTACTACTAAAGGGCATGAGAGCATGCTTACACCTATTTTATAATTCTCACCATCTTTGTTAGCAAAGATAGACTGAGTTAGGCTGCAGTAAAAAAACAAAACAAAACAAAAAACTCTCCAGCTGGATATAGCTAGCCCACACCTGAAATGCCAATACTTTGAGGCTGAATCATGAGTTCAAACCCACCTGCACAACTCAGCAAGACTGTGTCAGAAAAAAACTGGGCTGAGAATGTAGGTTATTGCAAAGGCCATGGGTTCAGTCATGAGTACTGGTTGAAAAAAATCCCTCCTGGGCCAGCACTTCAGGTTACTTTGATTGTGAGGCTAAATGAGTGAGCTAGCCAATACCAGAAACATTCTGAAGCTCAGCTTTTAATTCCAATAGCTGCCTATTAGAATTGATGCTATAAAGATTTTCCAAAATTACTTAAATTGAAGGCATAATCCAAGGTTTTAAGTTAGGACACCATATATGGGCAGCAGTGCCCATGTGCACGTGCAAACGGTGCACAGGGTGAGCCGACAGGCTACATAGTCAGGGCTGATTTCACCAGCGGTGACACAACTCTTTTTATAGTGTTCTCTGAGCTTCCATCTCCATAGCTTTAAAAGATTAATATTTGCCCCCATTTGTTGTTGAAGGTGAAGTGAAAAAAAAAAAAAAAATGCCGGCACCTGGTAAAGATTCTTTAAACAATATCTACCTGGCATATGGGCTATATGGCTCTTTAGGAAGCTAACTGTTCTGCTATCTAAAAAACAACCCTATCCAATTCTCTGAACACTTCCCAGTTAATCATGGCACCCCATTTGAACATTGCTGTCTTAAGAACTTTCTAGTAATATTATACTGTGTCCGGCACGATTGGACACTAATATGTCATGGTTTAGGATGAGGTTCCCAGGGTGGTATGCTCATTATTGTAGGAAGGTACTGTTCATGTATAGTCTGTGACAGTACACAGTAGCCCAGCTTGTAAGAGTGACTCTGAGATGCATAGCATGGAAAATTCTCTCTGGGCAGAGGAAAAGGAGGAGAAAAAGACTAGGAAAGAGGATACAGCACTTGGGAATTACTTCAGGGTAACAGTGAGCTGCTGGTGGATGTGCTCACCCCCAGCGTACCCCAACTTAACCCAGCTTCTTTGGGATATAGAGTAAAGGGGAAGCTCTAGGGCAGTAACTGTGATTATTATGATGGAGTCAGTGTATTTATTTTATAACCAAATTGGCTTAACTGTACTTAGCCTCTAAGGGGTGTTTATCAGATGTGATTTGTTCTACTGGCCCAACTGTCACATGTCCCTGGGAACAGGTAGATCATACTGTCCTTGGGAGGTGAGAGGACAGAAGGAAATCAGGCCAAGACCCAGGGAGGGGAACACGGTATGCCAAAGTTGAGCAGCACTCTTCTCTCTCCTGCCCTGGCCTCGGCTGTGTTCCCCACTCCTTCCCTTCCTAGCAGCACTGAGAAGGGAGAATGGTGAAGAACACAGCTCCGAAATGGCAACCTGAAATGTCATTTGAAAACTGTGATTAAATTAAGTTTTAAAAAATGTTCAGCCAGACCTCAGCCAGAAAGATGTTCGTTTTTCAGCCACGAGAGTCTACGCAGTTTCTGATTGGGCATGTAATTGGTATTTTGAACAAAGTTCTTTTCATGGGCCATTCTTAACAGTAAGAACTGTGTCTACCAACTCCTGCCATATACACACAGTCTGCGGTGGTTGTGACAACCAAAGATACCCCTCCAGGCCCTCCTTCCCCGGAAGGCAGTGCTGCTCTTACTAAAGAACGTCACGTAAAGGAGTCGTCATAGTATAGATCAGGACACAGTGAGCATCGGCCTCCTTCATACCACGCATAATGGCTGACCTTATACATTCTAGTGTCGGAATAATTGAACCAAAATGCTAATATATGGTCCTGCTTCCACCCCCTGGGTGCCACCGAGTCCTGTCCTGACAGCGCGTGCCTGTAATCCCAGTGCTGGGGAGGCTGAAAACAGGAGGATCAGTATGAGTCCAAGCACATAGTGAGACCCTGTACCAAATACATAAAATGGAAAAAAAATGGATAACTAAAGTAACACTTTTAATGGCTACACCTTAATATTTATATCCATATAAGCTTTATTCTTGGAAAATAACATTTTGATAATGTTTTAATGATCATAGGTCATACACATTGAGCACTTCCTGTATGTGAAGTGCTGTGTGTTTTCTCATTTAATCCTAAGAGAAGCGGACAGGTAGTTACTTCCCTTGTTCTGCATATGTAGAAGCTGCAGCTAGAGAGTAAGCATTCTCCCAAGTGGTGGAGCTGGGAGTTGAACAGGGGTCTGGCTGGTACATGAAACTGCGCTGTTCACAGCAGCGTTCCAGGGTTTGGGTATATGCTAGGATTTACAAGTCTTGAATAAAATGTAACCCCTCAATTTTAAAAGAAGGTAAAGATTTAGCTTCACTGTAAAACAGACCAACATTAATATAAAACATTAGCCAACTCTTAGGTGACCACTCTGAGAAATGGCTTGGGCATTGCTGAGGAATACAAGGTGCTTTGCAAACCTAGTCAAGTGGATTTGTGTTCTTTAGAAAGTATAACTGGGCTTTGGTTGATGAGAAAAATTTATAACACTGTAGTCTGCTGAAATAGCATCTTAGTTACAGAACCATACAGATGAAAAAGATGAATTAGAGCAGTTGATGAACCTATGGCACACATGCCACTACAGGCTGTTTGTATCCTCTTCATTGTAAAAGGTTTTCCGTCCCTGGATAAGTGTCTGAGGTAAAAAGTATCCTACTCCCCTAAGTCAGTGTTCCCTTCCTTCGATGGACTGGGTGTCCTAGGTGAACTGTGGCACTACTGATTCTGCATAGTCACATCACCCAGCCCCCTGCCCTCTGCTCTGACTTCCAAGCCCAGATGAACTTCTGCAGGTAAGACCTCTACATAGGTTTCCACACTGAGTGACACGTGAAACATGCCAAGTTATGTGTCATCCATTGATTCAGTCTTTATTAAAAACCCCTACCAAGGATCTCTCTACTCTTTCCCTCTGGCTATAAAATTTTAACTTTGAATTGACCTAAGTACATTCATTTACTCAGATGGTCAGAAATCCCATCCTCCACTTCATCTTCATATATGAAAGCCAGTAATACATATCATTCTTCTGGTAGCAAAAGACATGCTGGAGGACTGATAATTCAGGGCATGTTGCCTTCTAGACTAGGAGTTAAGTTTTATATTAGTTAGTTAATGGATTCATACTTGGAAGAAGCAAAGAGATGTATTCTTTGTTCTGTCACGTAGCTAGTATACAGATCTCAGTTTTTATTAGTATTCCTTTTACTCTGTGCCAATGAGCAGGGATGTGTTTTCCAGTTAACAAAGGTGTCACTTCTGATAGCGTTGGCTATTTCTCCCTTTTTGACATTTGATGACTGATTTGTTTTTCTCCTTTTAGATGAAAGACTTTCGAAGTAAAATGCAATCAATATTCCCAACAATTCCCAAGAACTCCAGATCAGCTGTTGAGTGGGAGGATGCGTTGAAGTCCAAATGAGATGAGCACAGATGAATTCTGAAGCGATCACTGCAGAAAGGGTGGCTTTGGAGGCAGCACAGCTGAAAAGGGACTGTGAGTGCTTTCTCCCGAGGACCCATGCAGATTGTCGGTGGCATTCAGCCTCCCCCTGAGCAGGCGGTCTTCCTCTGCATCTGTGGCTTTATTGGAGAGGGGCAGGTTTCCTAAAGTTAAGTATTTAAAAATAATTATTGGGATAACTTCCACAGATGGAGAGATTCCAGAGGGAAATAGCTCTGGTTATAAGAATAAACCATGTTTCATACCTGAAAAAAAAGTGTATTGTAAAAGTCTGATAGTAAATCTTTACAAGTAGCTCTATTACAGCATTAAAACCTGAGTCTTTCTTGTCAGTATACAACCAAGAATTTGGAAGAACTGTTCTATTAGCCAGACTCCTAAATACCAGGTTCAGTGGTGAGTCCAGAACAGCAGGGAGTGAGTGCAGGTCATGGTCCTGAGCACTGTGTGACTCACAGCAAGCACATATGCCAGTCATTTATCTGGTGGCCTTGTTTAATGGCCCTATGATTCTTATACTTAAGACAGAAAGCTAGTGACAGATTATGATAACTTGAAAAGGTGCAGTTGGCTGAAATACTAATGATGATAATCAAGGGTATAAAAGACACTTTTTTGAGAATTGGTATTGGGTCCCTGAACACTGACTATTGGTAGTTTTGTTTCTGTTGATATAGTAAAAACAGCTGAATTGTTACCTATTTTAAATATTTTCAACCAGAAATACACTTGAGTGCTGAGTCTCAATATTAGTACCTATTCTGTAATTAATTTTTATATACCCAGACCTCTCATGTACTCCATGATCTGCAGAAAACAGATGGAGAGTTAGATCTTAATTCTTTAACATTTTTAAAAAAGAAAAATACTTGTAATATGTCAGTATGTTCAGAGAAATAATCTCTGGTGGAAAATCAGTTGTGCAGTTTCTTTAGAACTGCTTAGGCTCTAATTAGTCAGCAATCAGGTTTAATAAAGTACGTTTTAAATTTCTGTTATAATGAAACCTTTTAGTTCTAAGGAAAAATTTGAAATGAAATGTCAAGTGCATAATGTAACATTTTTCTCCAGACCACATTACTCTGTTAAAATTGCCATATTGTTAATTAAACATGTGTAGTTAGTGTGTGAGATTCACGTGTAACCTGTTAAAAATCTAAAACCAAAAGGAAAGGATTGTGAACTTTATTAGCATATGTAGGCAACAAAAAACTCTTCACCCATCTTTCATTTTTCACTAAATCTTAGTATTTCTGACCTGTGACTGCAATGAAGGGATTCAAGAGTCAAGAAATTGTGTTTGAGTCCAGGCTTTCACTAAGAGAATGCGTGTGACCTACAACCATTTCTGCTAGAATCTTGATTTTTCATTCACCTTAGATGGAGAAGGCCTATTGATTTTTTTAAAAACCTGTCCTGGGTAGGAAAAAACAGAAATTCTTAGCTTGCTAGAATGGTAAAGGAGAAGTCAATATTAGTTGTGGTTCTGTTTAGTGGAGTCCTGCCTTGTCAGCTTTTTGAGGGTAGGGACTTTCTGTCAGGCCATGTGACCTATAGAGGCACCTGCTGTGGAGGTCAAGTGTACTGAGCAGGTGGCAGCTGCCCAGGAGGGAGCCAGGGCCTGGCACATAGAGGCCTGGCACACAGAGGCCTGGGTAGATGTGCACTGGAGGGCTGAGCGCCTACTTGCTTGGCAGTGTGCTTCATGCAAACAAATCTTGCTCCTGCATGTGACTTCTGTTATCCTTCATAGGTGGCAGGGGTCCAACTCCCATAGAAATGATCGTGAACATTTCATTTCATTTCATCCTTCCCTGTGGAGGGAAGTTTGATGGGGACAGGTTTCCTGGAATAGGTACACAGCATAGCCTACAATTGCATTTTAAAAGCAAAAATAAAGTAACAAAAATGAAAATTCAAAGAGAAAAGAAGTAATGTAACTCCATGGTGTTTTTCCACTGTCAAGACTCACATATCAGAAGATTTAGTCATTTGTCTATTTCTTTTATACCAGAGGCATATTGTTAAATTGGTTAATGGAAAGGAAAAATGTTTAACAGATAATGTTATTCTTTATGTGAAGTACCATCTGTGTATTGAGTTCTGAATGTTCCTGGATATGGAAGAGAGGAAGTGTTATGGAATTTCAAGTTTGCCTTCTTTGCTGTCTTTATCTTGGATAGAGTATGACAAACATAATCACATTTATCTCCTGGAGCATAAAGAGTTTTAATCACCCTATTAACCAGGATGACATTTTTCACAGACTTAAAAAGGAATAGAACAGACATTATCTCCCCATAAGCAATCCATTTCATGGAGGCTGAGCACTGGCACTGCTTTAAAGGAGGGGTAACACCGCCATTTCCATTTCCTTTCTAAGCCAACAGTGAGGAGGCTTTTGGTAAGGATGTGGCTTTGATTAGGTCAGTGTGAAGCTTTACACTTGGAATCTCAGTGCCCAAGAGAGCTGTTAAAGAAAGCCACACAAAGAAAACACAGTGGGCAGAGAAGCAGCTTCTAAGATCTCAGGATTCTTTTAAGACAGTGTACATCCTGCTAAGTTATTGCTGCCCTGTAACTCATATCTACCAGATGCTGTTTTGTTTTGGTTTTTTTCCCCAGTATGAAACAGTATGATTTCACAACAATCTGGGAAGGAAAATAGGGGGTGGGAACTGCCTCACCACGTGGCAGATGTCCTCGCCCAGCCAGTCAGCTGGCAGTGGGGAATCTGATCACACCCTCAGCCCAGCTTGCTGACACAGAGAAAAGCTCAGTCAAAAAGTGGAGCCTAACCATCCTGCCTGTCATACATCGTGTTTGCTTTCACAGATAGTGTGAGACTGAGCTCACAAATTAATCATTACATCTTACAGGGGAAATAGAAGAAATTAGGGGGGCCCAGAGGGACAAAAGTAATTAAAATCCATTGAATTTAGCTATTTCACTTGGGACAAGATTTAATCTGCTAGATTTGGTTTGCCAAGTATGTTGTTTATTTTCACCTCACTTCGTATATCTTCTTTAAAACAAATAGTTAAATATGGGTAAAATATAAAAATACTTATTCAAATAGTTACATTTACAATGGAAATTAGTAAAATACATGTTTCATAGCATTTTATTTTGTTCAAGTGCAGTGTTTTCTTTTCTGCCAGGAGTCACCAAATGAGACAGCAAATATTTGGGATTCTCTTGGTGTCAGCCATGTTGTCACAGGCCATGGTTTTGGGAGCACAGAGGAGGAAGCCAGCAAGCATCTCTCACCAGCAGACATGACTCTGTAACAGGGAGTGAGGGCAAGTTTTGTCTGATGGCAAATAACCCCTTCAGAATCACAGTGACTAGGAAGCACACACAGTTTTAAGTATTAGCACAGTGATTTAGGATCCTAATTTATATTTCTTACATCAGCTGGATCAGGTCCTTTGCCTCATTACCATTTGATGAGGCATGACTATTAGTGTAAAAAGAACAATAGTAGAAAATGATCAAATGCATATAATATACTTAATATAAATACTTAAATACATAAGGGTAAAAGTCATTCTTAATGGACTCTCCTAAGAAGCCAAATCAGGCATACTGAGCAAACTTGGCACATTCCTAACACCTGTTACCTGCAGGTCTGAAAATGCTACAAAAATCAGTCTTCACACTAGGCTTAGGGTGGTTTTTATGATTTGCAGCTTCATAGCTCCTAGGACCTGGCCAAGTGGGTATCGAAAACCTGTGGCTCTGGGCCTTTGGATTTCAGCTGTCCAGGATGCATGCACTGAATTAAGTTGGCAAAAGCTTGGAAAGGAAAGCTGGACTTGACCCTCCTTACAGAATCGTGGTCACCTTTGGAGGTTGCCCCTTTCCCCTGCCAAGCCAGGTCATGAGAATGTGGTTTTTACTGCCGGTTGTCTTCTCTGCTTGTCCCAGTAGCAGTGGTTGAGTCCCTTCATGTCATCCTCTGAGGGAGGGCCACACAGTGGACAGCAGATGGAAATGTCCAAGAATTACCAAGGGTGAGCTGTAGCCACCACGTGTATCCTGGTTCCCTTCAATTTATGGTGGCTGCAGCTACTGGAGACCTTCCTGTAGTAGAGATCCAGGCAGCAGTTAGGAATTCTCGCATGGTAAAATGCAAGAAAAGTAAAATAAGACCTCTTGTCAAAAGACAAGAATTACTGAGGAAAAATCTTCTGTCAGTGTGTGGGTCATGCATGTCTGCTTCCCTTTTCACAGATGTTTACTACAAAGAATTATAGTAAAATACCCATGAAAACAGCACATTCTCAAGTTCCTGACTCCCTGTGTGAGTGTGAGTCTTTTATACAGCACACTCAGTGTCCAGGGAAAGCAGGGAGGTGGGACTACACTGTCTGACCTGGCTCTTGCGTTGTTGGTAGAGCTGCATTCTCACCTGTCCAGATGTGGCTCTGTCCAACAAATCAGCTTGCATCCCAGTGTTCCCTGTCTTTGGGAATAATCTGTAGGTCCCAGGTGCTCCCTGGAAGCTATGGAAATTTAAGTTGAAAGTGGAATCAGCGTAGATGAGCTAAACTCAGTATTCCAAATATTACTGAAGGAGCAGAGAGTGAGGGCTGGCTTCAAAAGCTTGGGGTCAGGTGAGACCTTAAGAAATGCCTACATTCATCCTCAGAGCCAGCGACAAACCTAGGCTAGGCGGGCAGAGGAAGGAAGCAGGGGAAGAAGAGGACAACTGTGTGCCAAGTACGTCCAGGTTCATGTGATACCAGCATTTACGTCTTCACTCATGCTGCCACATTCGCTTGGGGACTAAAAAGAATGAAAATCACATCACAGTGATGAAAAATTACTAGGGGTGGGCTGGTGAGATGACTCAGTGGTCTAAAGCACCTACTTAGAACAAGCTTAGCAAAAGCACAGGGACCGCGGTTCAATCCCCCAGCACCACATGCCAGCCAGCCCCACCCCCTGGTGGGCTAGCTGGCCACACACACACACACGCACACACACACACAAATAAATAAATTTAAAAAAAAAAATTACTAGGGGGTGTTCTAACCCCTAGGTTTGTAACACATACTTTAAAAGCTAAAAGCCATCAGGCTTGATCCTAACATCCACAAATCCAGACCTGCTCAACAAGAATAAACAAAGAGGGGCCAGGGAGATGGCTCAGTGGAATAAATACTTCCCCAGCAAGTGCGAGGATCTGAGTTCAATCCCCAGGTCCTCAAAAAAAAAAAAAAAAAAAAATCCCCAGGTCCTCAAAAAAAAAAAAAAAAAGAATGAACAAAGATCCTTACATGTGTTCTTCCAAGTGCCACCAAGGAGTGAGGCAGCCTCTAAGGGTTTTCCCTGAGGACAAATGCAATCCCTGAACCTCATTCCCAAACTCTGCTCTTCCCTGTGTTGTATTGACAGAACCACCTAGAACTTTCTCTAGAGAGTTTTGATTTTGTCTCGAGAGAACACAAGTAAAAATTTTACTCTCAGAGTACTTAGGATCAGGAAGGGCACCCAGGAATACCTGAGACAGGCTACCTGGTCACAGAGCTGTTAGTCAAACAAATTAGACAAATGAACCAACCATCTGATTCCTTTGAACCTAATATGCCCTACAAAGACTAATAATTCCACCCAGTCTCCCCAATTTGTGCACTTAATGGGAGCCTCCGCGTTCTATCTTGCTCACTAGTCACTAAATCACTCTGAGCTGAGTGCCATCACACACTAATTACCCAGCATGCTAAGCCCCCATCACCCGGCTTCCTGGGTTGTGTCTGCTGGGAGGCAACAGGAGTTGTTAGGAAAGTTGGACTGCCAGGTTAACACGGTCCCTTCCACAGTGTGAGCCACCCTCCGTGCCTGGGCAGTAAGCACTGAAATTAAAACCAACTTTCTCAAAAGACATGGCATGCTGAGAGTCTGCTAGACTGGGCCTCCCAGAACAGGCTATGGCTTTATTTCCCATGGCTTTAAGCTTCTAAATTCCTAGCTCAGTAAGTGTTGTGGGGCTCAAGAGCTGTGCAAATGCAAGGCTTGGGGCTGGGAGCCCAGTGACACTATTCGGCAGTGCCATCCAGTACAGGACAGCGACAGGCCAGAGGAAGGCAGAGACATTTCCAGGAGCTGCATCAGTTGGGTCCGTG